AACGGCTTCTCCTGACTCTTCCAGTGTATGCAAAGAGGTAAAGTGTCGTTCAAGGACGAATTCTGACTCCATCAAATCGACCCACGTACGTGCCTGCTCCGAGTCAAATTCTGGCCATGGCAAGATTCGTTTAGGGCGCGGTTTGTTATGTGCGTTTGCGGCATCGCCTTGCGTGGACTGCGTACTATCAGGTTGAATGGTCAGACCTAGGCAAAGGTGAGTATGGCATGCATCGAGGAACTCGGGCAGCGTGGTCTTTCCGGTCCTCCGTTCGTAGCGCTGTCGGTCTTCTTCGCGGAGTTGTTCTGCTTCTTCGCGGAGTCGTTGCTCTTCTTCGCGGAGTTGTTCTGCTTCTTCGCGGAGTCGTTCTGCTTCTTGTTCACGTCGTTGCGCATCTGCCTCGCGTTGCTGCGCTGCCCGAAGCTGTTGCCGCAGAGCCTCAATTTCTGACGACATCTTCGAATGCTGAGTTAAAGGGCTGGCTTTCAAGTATGCTTGATGTTGGAGGTAATTGCGGGATACGGGGAACTACACACGAATTTGTGTGGTAATCTCCGACAACCGTAATCAGTCTCTTCGGGCAACGGAGCAGAAGCTTCACAGTAGAGTACAGTAAAACAGTACAATACGGAGTATAATCAATTGAATTACAACCTAATCTACGGGCCTATGTACGCTATTTGTACTCGAGTAGGCCTGGGGGAAACCCCAAGACCCTGACGAGCTGAGGGGCTTCAGCTGAGCTCAGTCAGTGGCTTTCAATAGCCTGGCGCCACTGTCTGACTCGTGAGCCAACCGGGAAGCTAGACAGTTCCTCGGGGAAAACCCGTCATTTTTGGGCGTAAAAGTCCACCGTATCCCACGGGAACGTCCGTTTCCCCCAACATTTTGGTTCCAGTGCTATTCCAGTGCTAAGTCTTCTTAGATATATTACTCCGTAATCTTCTTAGATATATACTCCTGCAAAGGGTGCTTCAGCTCACAGCACTTTAAAGCTTGAGGTAACAAGGGTCAACAGTTGAGCTATAATTGCTGAAACCAGCCACCTGCTCGACCATCGTCTTTCTGTCACGCGTTCCAGACTTGTACCAACAGGAGCACTTTCACATCTATAACGTAAGTCGTGGCGTAACGCGGGGGATGGCGTAACGCGGGGAATTCACCCCGCCGACTTCTGATAACTGTGAATAACTCAACAATGGTTCGCTGTAAAAGCCTGGGTGTTGCTGAGCGTGAAACTTTAATAGCCCAGGCAGTATTAGACGTCCAATCTAAGAAGTATAAGAGTGCATATCACGCTGAGAAAGTGCTGGGGCTGCCGAAGAGTTCAGTGACGCGACGCGTCAATGGAGGTTTGACACGCTCCCAAGCCCGCCAGAAACAGCAGAATTTATCAGGCGCGCAAGAACAGATACTTCTAAAGTGGATTAAAAACCTAACAATCAGCGGCTATTCTCCAGGGCATCGGTTGTTGAAGGAAATAGCTGAAGAACTCCGGTCGCACCGGTCACTCAATTTTGACGACGCGACGCCAAACTTACTTCTACCCCAACCACGATTTTCCCTCGGTCGCGACTGGGTACCACGATTCATACAACGACATCCCCATCTACAGGTCGCTATTGGGCGACGGATCGAAACTGTATGCATGGACGGTGCAACAAAACCAGTGCTTACGGCATGGTTTAACGCGTACACCAAGGTGGTTCAAGAGTTTGGAATCACGCAAGAGAACACATATAACATGGATGAATCCGGATTTTCGATTGGGACAATGGAATCTACTCGAATTATACTTGATTCAACACTTCGTACGAAGCATCAAGCGCATCCTGGCTGTCAGGAATGGGTTTTGATGGTTGAGTGCATCTGCGCAGACGGAACCATCCTCCCACCCCTCAGGATCTTTAAGGGCAAGAACGTTCTCCAATCATGGATTCCGCCCGCAGTCATCGACCAGTGGTTCTTCTCTGCGAATACGAAAGGCTGGACAAGCAACCTCCATGGGTTGGAGTGGTTAAAACGCATCTTCGAGCCAACAACACGTACAAAAGCAGATGGTCAGCACCAGCTTCTTATATGTGATGGCCACGACTCACACATTAGTGGGAGTTTCATTGCGCATTGCATGCAGAACCATATTGTATTACTGATACTTCCCCCTCATACATCGCACTTACTACAACCACTGGATGTTGTGATATTCGGCCCGCTAAAAAAGCGCCTGACAGCAGCGCTCTCCCCACTCAACCAAGCGCAACTTGCGCGCATACAGAAGTATGAATGGATGGAGGCATACATCCAGGCACGGCTTGATGTATGCAACCATCAGAACATTGAGTCAGCATACCGTGGCGCTGGCTTGTTTCCTTTTAATCCCCAGCGAGCATTGCGTACGCTGCTCAATGCTGAACCATCAGTCGAGGCTGACCGACCAAAAACACCACATCAGTATGATATTTTTGACCGAGTCTTTATCAACAGCTCCCCCCCAGATGGGATGACCTTACGCTCTGCAAATGCACTCCTTACAACTACGATTAATAGTGGTGGGGTGCTGTCAACACCAGTGCAGACGTACATCCAAAAACTCACAGTTGCGTCAGAGCAACTTCGAGCATGCAGCATTGTCCACCAACTCGATGCCAACAACCTGCGATCAGTTATAAAGCAACGTACGGTACGTACGAAGGGGAAAAGGGTTATTTTGAAGGGTCACTTTCATGTTTCTACGCAAGAGTTGTGTGATGCGGTGATGGAGGCGGAAAAGGCGACACATAACCCAAGTAAGAAAAAGTGCAAAACAAAGGATAAGAACGCCTCCTCAGACATTGAAATTGACGAGTATATTGAGGAAGAAGCAGGGGAACAATCTAAGAGTGACGGTGGATCATGTATTATCGTTGATTGTAGTTAAATTTACAGATTTGTTGTGTTCTCTTCAAAATTCCACCGCGTTACACCATCCCCCGCATTACGCCACGACTTACGTTAGTGCTGGAACACAAGTGATTATTAGTTCAACTTGGTATCGAGTATATTGGGGGTTGGGCTAGCTTGAGGAGCACCAAAGAGAACCTAGCGGCTACGAGTGTATAAGGTTGCACAGCATATTGGTGCCCAAATCTTCCTGCCAAGCAGCTCGAGTACTTCCTTTCGTGCCGGGATATCACAGCTGCAATGCTGGGTAGACAACACTAGGCAATGAAACTGCTAGTAGTATGAAAGAATCCCATGAGGGGAAGGCTAGAAGAATGAACAGAAAGAATGTGCCGTTCAAGGTGGACACTGTGCCAGCAGCAGTAATGATCGGTGTGGTAAGTGGCTCTGATTTTGAAATATTGCTTACCCCTCAGCATCTCTTGGGAATTCTGATAAGCGTTCCACTAGATATAGAGAGGATCACATTTCCCAGGACGGTGATTGGCATGCACAGTCGCATTTCAGTGATCCCGCGAGAATTTCTTGACTCCCAAAACGGTAGCTTGCAGCAGTTAGGTCCTGGTGAGGAAAATTTCTTTGACATGAATTCGTACACTAACTTTTCTCCCTAAGATACGTCCATCCTCAAGTCAATATCGTAGCCTAGATTGGCTAGCGCAACTTGTTAATATGCCACGAGCCCCAACTAATCATTCTCCTTTGGCCTCTAAGCTCCATATAAAACAGCCTGCTGTTAATATATGGCCAGATGCAGACATGCCCGACTTGGGGAAGATATGGAATGCTCATGGTCAAGAGAATAGGACAGTTAATCCCAGACACTTTTTGCAAACACCTATACAAGATTACAGTACTGTAAAGGGTTCTTATAACGTAGAATATCCTGTACTCTGAAGTGCACCGTCGGAACCATATTAGAGAACCATATTAGGTGGATGGGCGGCCGTAGACTTAGTAAGAAGCCGCAAATCCTGATCAGCAGGGCTAAACGGATCTGGCAGTTTTGCTCCACCTGCTGTCATCCAGCCTTCTTAGCCACTAGGCCACTTCAGAAGTGCTGTAACACTGTAGCAAAATGTAGCAGCCCCACCTGTATTGGCCATAATAGGAAGTAGACCCCTGACTAATCCTAGCATCAAAATTGCCTGATTAGGAAGACTGCTGTTATAGTGTAGCACCAAGGTGATACACTGTAGCAGCGGGTATGTAATGGTAGGTGCACTAGATGTGAGAATCTAGCCACCTAAGGGAAGGGATGATTTTACTAAGACAACACACTGTCTTAGGAAACAGAGCCAAAGGGTTGTAGCTTAGACTATTCCATAACGCAGCAATCAGGTGTATGATGTAGTGGAGTGGTTTAGACAAGTTGTAACAAATGTTGAGTCTGAGAACTTAGGGGTAAGTCAGAGGTTAGCACCTCACTGACTTTTCAGAAACAAGGAATAACAAGATCAATGCTTAGAAGCTTGGAAAAGACATAGAAGTATGTGATAGTCGATTTACTGTATTGTCTGCTTGCCCTTTCTTAAGGAAAGGGCAATCCTATTTATGCCAAAGAAGTGTAGTTCTCTCATTTTCCATGACTTTCCATGACTAACCAGGCTTGGTAACTGTAGTTAACGTAAGAGAATCCCATAGAACCATCTCTTAGGTTCCTAGCCTATAGGAAGTGAAAGGAGGTCTAAGGTCAGAGTACCCCTATAGACAAATTATGTCATAACTTAACCAATCTTGTAGGTAACTAAGGAGCGATGACGTGTAATGAATCATAGAGGGTTGTAGAAGCTTTTGGAGCTATCGTTCATGTTCCTAGGCCTCTAGCTGGTAGAGATATGTCATGTGGTAGTATTAGCCTAGTAACTAAGAAGTAATGACATGTAATGAATCATAGAGGGTTGTAGCAATCTGTAATGGTGTGTCACGGGTAGGTAGGAAGTAAGAAGGGTCAGTCGCGGGTCCGCGTCGGGGGCGCCCCGCTAGAGCGCCCTAGGCTGCCAAGGCCACTAAGGGAGGCCCCATAGCCTAAGGCCGCTATTAGGCTGGAAGACTGCAAGATGGCGCCCGGACCCGACTCGCAACCGAGACGGCGGGGGCCCAACCCCGAAGGAGTAGATAAGGTAGCTGAGCCCCCTATTAGTAGGGGCTCAGAGATTAGTCTGTTGAATACTATACTATTTGCTCCAACCTACGGTCTTAGCACACTGCCTACCTAAACCCTTACATTCTAATCTCTCGCAATACGGGAGGCAGCCCGCTAGGACCTAGTTGCGGCAACGCCCCTACTCGGCAATGGACGTACCATTCGAAGGGGCCACGACGCGTTCGCGCTCCCAGAACCAGTACGCTACGCAAACCCTCTGAGGCGACGACGAACCGGGGCCGCACCCGGGGTCGAGCCAGTCGGGAGACGAGAGGCACGCCCAACACCAGCCTAGCGCTAGCGAGGACCTCCACGGCAACCAGGATGGAAGCCCTGACGGATCGGAACTCTCCACCCTAACTGAGGTCCCGTTCGACTTGGGTGATCGGGTGGACGAGACCCGCCGCGAGGCTGACCACCTAGAACGCGAGGTGCGTGTCGCCCGGCTCCGGAAGCGAGCCGCTGTGGAATTGCGAATCGCAGAACTAGAGGTCCAGGAACGACGGAAGCGCGCGCTCCAACAGGAGCTGCGCGAACTACAGGAAGACTGGACGCTAACGGGGGACCGGAAGCGGCGCGCGAGCAAGGGCCACGACGGCTACAACCAAGGGAGAGCTTTCCTCGAGATAGGGAGCGTCGTGGGCGAGTCGGCTGCGAGCCACGACCGGGGCCCCCGCAGAGCGCCGAAGTTCCGCGATCTAGCAACCTTCCAGGGGAAGAGCCTGCGGGAGGCGCAGGTCTTCGCCGCTGGGGCAGACCACCGGTTCCGTATCGACGCGGGGTCGCAGTACCCCACGGACCAGAATAAGATTGACTACTGCGTCCTCGCCTTCGGACCAGCGCCGGCAGCGAAGTGGGAGCGCCACGAGCGCCGCGAAGGGCTAGGGAACACCACCTAGGCGGAATTCAAGGACTGGATAATGGATTCCATTATCGACCCCTCGAACCGCACGTTCGACGCCATCACGTCGTACAACGAGGCAAAGCAAGGCGAGACCCAATCGGCGGAAGATTTCGCGGCCCACCTCGACACTCTCGAGCTCGAGCTCCGGATCGAAGACGAGGAGCTCCGGAAGAACACCCTCTACGCAAAGCTGCGAGAGGAGGTGCGGCGCGAGATCCTGCACCACGACGACATACCCCGTACGCGGCAAGGCATGCTGGCCCTAGCGACCTGCATAGAGAACACGCACCGCCTCACCGACAGGAGGCCGAACCGGAGGCGATCCGACACCCCGGCGAGGGCGGGAGACCGCGAGGACGTTAGGGCGGGGCCCCTGCGACCGTCGCGGCTTACGGGGACTGAGGAGCGGGACTCTGAGGGCCACAGGAGAGGCCCAGCCACGAGCCCGAATCGCTCCCTAGCGGGCGCGAAGGGAGATCGCCGCGGCAACGGCTGCCACGGCTGCGGCTCGGCAGAGCATCGGCTGGCCCAGTGCCCTGAGGCTATATGCTACAATTGCAGCAAGAAGGGGCACATTTCCCCGGATTGCCCGAGCCTAACGGGAAAAGGCGAGTCCCAGCGGTGATATCCACTGCCCTAAACCGACGGGACCAAGGCGGGGCGCTACCGACGCGGAGGCGGCTAGTGATCGCGGTCCAAGTCACGGCCGCTGATGGGTCCACGCGAACGGAGCAAGCCCTGATCGACAGCGGGGCAGAGGAGAACTGCGTCCGCCAGTCTCTAGTCGTAGAGTGCAGATGGGAGTCTAGCGAAGGGGCTGACATGGGGTTGTCAACCCTCGAGGGGAGAGAGGTATGGACCTACGGGGCCCACTACCTACCCATCGGCGCCACGGACGGGGCGGGGAGGTCGTTAACGACCCGCCACCATTTTGTAGCCTGCGCGTTCGACGGGTTAGATGTGAACCTCATCCTAGGGTACCCTTGGCTGGCTGACGTAGACCCTACGATCAGCTACAAGGACGGGACATGGGAGTTCCCAACACGGCAGGGGGCCGTCCGGGAGGTAGGACCTGAACAGTTCTACGAGGATGTCCAGGAGACGGGGGGAGCCTACGGATTCCTCGCCCAAGGAGCGTTGTGCGGAATGCTCACCCAAGGGGCAGTAAGGGGGCAGCGTGTCGGCGTCGTCACCGCCGATACGGCACCAGCGGTTCTCCCCAACCAATACCATGACTACGCTGACGTCTTTGACGCAGCGAAGGCGGGCGTATTGCCCGAACACCACCCAATGGAGCACAAAATCGAGGTGGAGGAGGGCAAGGAACCCCCCTGGAGCCCGGTATACCCCCTTAGCGAACCGGAGCTCGAGGCGCTACGAGACTATCTCGATTCGGGCCTCAAGAAGGGGTGGATCCAAAGGTCCATCAGCCCGGCGGGGGCCCCAATTCTGTTCGTCCCAAAGAAAGACGGGAGCCTACGACTCTGTGTGGATTATAGAGGGCTGAACGCGGTTACGATTCGGAACCGGACCCCGCTACCGCTCATTACTGAGACCCTCGACCGGCTACGCCGATCGAAGGTCTTTACCAAACTAGACCTTAAGGACGCCTATCACCGAATACGTATTTGTAGGGGAGATGAGTGGAAGACGGCGTTTCAGACCCGGTACGGCCACTTCGAATACCTCGTCATGCCGTTCGGACTATCGAACGCACCAGCGACCTTCCAGGCGTACATAAACCAGGCCCTCATAGGCCTAGTAGACGTGACCTGTTTAGTCTACCTAGACGACATTCTGATCTTCTCCAAAGACACGAAGCACCACGAGGGGGCGGTGCAAGAGGTCCTGAACCGGCTACAGACCCACCGGCTATACGCCAACCTCAAGAAGTGCGTGTTCACCACGAACAGCGTGGAATTCCTCGGCTTCATAGTAGGGCCCCAGGGCATCACCATGGACCCCACCCGAGTCGCCACCGTTAACGAGTGGCCACCGCTGAGGTCGGTTAGGGAGGTCCAGGTGTTCCTAGGGTTCACTAACTTCTACCGATGCTTCATTGAGGGCTACTCTAGGGTAGCGGGCCCGATCACTAACCTCCTAAAGACTACTGGGGCCGAGAAGGGGCGCAAGTTCCAGATGACGCCAGACGCCATGACAGCGTTCGACGCGCTAAAGGCCCGGTTCACCACCGCCCCGATGCTGCGAGACTACGAGCCCGAACTACTAACGCAGGTGGAGACGGACGCCTCGGGGTACGCCGCATCGGGTATCCCGTCGCAGCTATTCGGGGCCGGACCAGAGGCGAAGTGGCACCCAGTGGCATTCTTCTCTAGGAAGTTCTTCCCTGTGGAGCTGAGGTACGACACCCACGACAAAGAACTCCTAGCTATCATCCTGGCTATGGACCACTGGGGCCAGTACCTTCGAGGCGTCACGAGGCCGGTACAGGTACGGACCGATCACAACAACCTCCGATACTTCATGACCAAGAGGAGCCTAAACGGACGGCAAGCACGCTGGGCGGAGTCGCTCGCCCGCTACGATTTCTACATCGAATACCGCCCTGGCAAGGCCAACCCTGCGGACGGACCGTCGCGGAGACCCGATTACCAGCCCCTCGATGACCCTACGCTCGACCAACACTTGCCTGGCCTACACTTTCGGCTATGTAGCGGCCCTGAGATGGCTGCGGATTCGACACCTCCTGTAATTGCGGTAGGCCGCCGACGAGGAACGAACCACCCAAGCGCGGAACGGGCGGCCAGCCTGGAACGACCTAGTCCGACCGCAGAAGCGACGCCGTCACGGCGCCGGGACACGAACGCCATCATCACAGGAGAAAGACCCTACTCGCCCGCAGGGGTAACGGTAAGAGAGGCTCTCCTAGAACTACAGTCCCGGGACGACTTCGTCACCCAATGGGCGGCAGCCCCACACTCAACGCGGCGGCCCCGCGAGGCCGCCTTGTGGACGATGGGGGAGGACGGCTTACTCCGAAGGAAGGGCGCCATATACGTCCCCGACTCGCCACCGATGCGGGCAGAACTGCTAGCCACACACCACGACGACCCTCACGCTGGCCACTTTGGTTTCGCCCGCACCCAGGAGCTGCTGCAACGGAAATACTACTGGGCGGGGATGAGGAGGGACGTGAAGAGTCACCTCCGGACGTGCGACGTCTGCCAACGCACGAAGACTAAGAGGCACGCACCCTACAGCGAGCTGGCGCCTTTCCAACCCCCGACCACCCCCTGGCAGGAGATCACGATGGACTTCATAGTGGGGTTACCGCCGAGCCGGTTCCGAGGCCGGGTCTACGACTCGATCCTCGTCGTCATGGATCGCCTCACGAAGATGGCACGTTATATACCCGTTAACGCTACCATTGACGCCCCGGAACTCGCGGAAGTCTTAAGGACTATGGGACCCCGACAGGAATCACCTCCGACCGGGGCCCCCAGTTCACGAGTGCATTTTGGGGAAGCTTTATGTTCTACCTCCAGATACGGAGGCGGTTGAGCACCGCTTTCCGTCCCCAAACCGACGGCCAGACGGAGCGACAGAACCAGACGCTAGAGCAGTACCTTCGCTGCTACTGCGATTACTCACAGGGTAACTGGGCTAGCAAACTAGCGCTCGCCGAGTTCTCCTACAACAACTCAGTGCATGAGTCAATGGGACACGCCCCGTTCTACCTACTATACGGCTACTATCCCGCCATCGAGGTCACGGCAGCGGAGCCGCCTAATGGTGCCAGCACGGCGGCGTCCCGAGTGGAGGAGCTCCAACGGGAACGAAAGGAGCTAGAGGCCACCCTTCGTCAAGCCACAGAGGCCCACAAAAAGCAATACGACCGGAAACACACGCCGATGCGGTTCCGGGTCGGCGATCAGGTGATGCTCGCAGCAAAAAACATCCGCCAACTCCGCCCTAATCGGAAGCTCTCTGACAAGTATCTAGGCCCGTTTAGGGTCACAGAAGCCATCGGAGCGCACGGGCAGTCGTACCGCCTCACGCTCCCAAAGGGGTACCAAATCCACGACGTGTTCCACGTGTCCCTACTAGAACCGTACCACGCCCGGACCGGCACCGTACCGCCTGAGACGACGCAAACCTGAGACCAAGATGAATGGGAAGTACAGTCCATTCAGGCACACAAGGACACCCCTAAGGGGCGCCGATACCTCATCCGATGGAAGGGGTATTCCCCCGCGGAGGACACGTGGGAACCCACCGACAACCTAGCTAACGCGCCGGACATCCTACAAGCGTACCACGAAGCCGCTCCGCAACCGATCCGGACAAGACGCTAGCGCACACGGCGACGTCAGACCACCGACCCAAACAACCCAAACGCACGGGAAGGGATGCACCCCACAGACCCCTAGAACCCCAACGCACGGAGGGGGGCCGGGGGGGCGGCAACAACCCCCATGACTCAGGGGGCCGAACCGCCAAAACGCACCAAAACCCCCCCGAGTTACGGGAAGGGGAGGTCGGCGAGCCCACCTCAGTCGAATCGGGTACGTACCGGTACCGGTCCGACCCTGGCCAAGAGGAGGATAGAAACGACGCGCACAACACCACCCTACTACCAGCAGCCAGAGCGAGGCACAGGCGCAGGGTGTCATACTGACATTCGTTGCACTCAGTTTGCTATCAAACTCAAGAGCAAACTTAGAAATCTCCTCCTCAAACCTACAAGTCAACATACATATCTTGGCTTATCACATCAACAACAGAAGCAATACTACTCAACGATTGCTGCAAACTCTTCTACTACATCTGTTTATGCTACATACATCACGGCATATCATTTGGACACTCATTGAACAAGTTATTAAGAAAATCTCCTCCTTAAGGGGGTGGGCCAATACTACCACATGGCATATCTCTACCAACTAGAGGCCTAGGAACATGAACGATAGCTCTAGAAGCTTCTACAACCCTCTATGATTCATTACACGTCATCGCTCCTTAGTTACCCACAAG